ATGACAGGAAAAGTTTGCCATGTCAAACAGATTTATCTGATCAAGGCATCTGGTGCAGCGTGAGGTTGGAATGAAAACCTGCAGACGGTTGGCATCCGAAACAAACTGTTACCCAACCTGTTCTGTAAACACCTCGAAACAGCATATGCAACAGTCGAAAGGCATATTAGAGTTTGTCAGAAAGGGGCTCCAAACATTGGATATACTCATGTAGAAGAAAAACGTAGTCATTGTCACTAGATCAGACCTTTAAGGGGGCATTCCACAAAACTTTACAGATAAAGTTCAGTCTTCTCATTAAGATGAGTACTGCTCAGTCTGTGAAGCTACTTCTGTGTTTTGTTTAGTTTATTTTTATTTTTTTTAATTCTGAGAGGGCTCACACATTTATTTGTAATGGAAAGCCTGTATTACAAATCATTTCTGACAAACATTCAACAAGACGAGAACTCACCAAAAATTCACTTGCATTATGGGAAATGTAGGATCCGGCACTTTATCATGAATTAAAAAATGAGATGAATTTACCAGCTGCAACATCAGTTTTTATCCTCATGAAGTTTATGATGTACTTTTGTTTTGGGGGCTTTAGATTTTCATGAGCTCAAACATCTTCATTTGTACACAGCATCAAAGCAATATGCACAAAAAACACTTGTTTGTTGTGCATGCTATCGGCTCACACAATAACTAAATAATAGATAAATAATACGATAATTAAATCTCAACTGGAGTTTACCAGAAGGCGTGTGTGAGACTCTGAAGTCAACTATAAGGATGTTTTTTGAGCTTTTTGGCCATCATACTTGTTACCATGTTTAGCGGACACCAAACACTGCACATTATCACTGTCACACCATTCATGACTGTGAAGCATGGTGGTGGCAGCATCATGATGTGAGGGATCCTTCTTGGCCGTGGGTCCTGGAAGGCTTGTAAAGGCTAAAAGGGTAAAATGAATTCAGCAAAGTATGTGGGAATCCTGGGGGGGGGCAACATGGGAGAAAAATAGTTTTCTTGCAAGACAATGACAAGACGTATGCAGTCAAAGCTCCACAGAAATGGTTTAAAAGACAAATAGATAAATGTTCTGCCGTTGCCGAGTCAGAGCCCATACCTCAATCCAGTTGAGAATTTGTGGTTGGAATTGTCCAAATGTGCAAGACTGATAGAAATGCCCACGTAGACTTAATGCTTACATACTGTTTGGGGTCAAATTTGACCCATTTTGACATTTTTAAAGATAATTTTTGGGCTTTTTCGCCATTTTTGGACAGTGAAGAGAGACGGGGTATCGTGGGGAGAAGAGTGGGGGAAGGACATGCAGCCAATGAGCTGCTGGCTGGACTTGAACCGCGGGGACTATAGACCCTGTACATGGGTCACCGCTTTATCCAGTTGAGCTACTGGGATGCCCTTGTTTTGACATTTGACAAATACCCTAAACATCATTCTTTTAGCCTGACATTTGATGACTTTTCCTAAAGTGACTCAAAATACACAAACATTTAATACTTTAGTGCGTGTG